TTGTACTACATCTACACTACAACATATGTGAGACTCATCAAAATCCGTGTCGTACGTATGTTGGCCTCCCCTTGTAAGTAATTGAAGTACGCGTACCGCGCCAAAGTCAAAGCGTGACCCGCCTTCTCCTTCGCGTATTCCGATAGATTTAGTTTGTGACGTAGAGTAAAGCCCGCGTAGTTATAGTCCATTCGCGTAATGTTGTACATATCGCATAGAGTTAAGAGCGGTCATCTCTTTGTAGAAGTCCGGTGGCAAGGCGCCCCGCACCAACAGAAGCAGCTGCGCCTTCCGCACCATCCGCGCCATCCTCATAGTCACTGAATAAATAATATTGTGTTCGTAAATCGTCTCGTTCATTGAGCATACCTCCCTTTAGTGTTAAGCCGCGTACTCCGGGACGAGCGGTCAGCACCACCACGGCACCTATCGATGGCTCAGCCGAACCGCCCGTTACAAGAGAATAAGAAATTAATGGCTGCACAAGCGCTATTGTCAGCGGGCAGACCGGAACGAGTCGCGACCACGATAGTAAAAGGTACGATCGGCAGCATTTCAGAATATTCGCTAGACGACGATTGGACGTCGTGGTGCGAAAGGTTAGACATGTATATACTGGCGAATGAAGTCCGTGAAGATAAGAAGGTTTCCCTGTTCCTGACATTACTGGGGAAGGATGGATATGCACTTCTCAGGAATTTGACGACACCAAACTTGCCGTCACAAACGTCGTTTGCAGAATTAAAGCAAACAATGAGGCAACATTTGCAGCCGGCGCCTAACCCCATGGCCGAAAGGTACAAATTCAAAGAGTGTACTCAAAAGGAAGGGGAAGATATCAAAAGGTTCCTAGTAAACCTGAAAAGGCTGTCAACATTCTGCGAGTTCGGGGATAACTTGGAGAACAGTCTGCGCGATCAATTCGTATGGAGATTGTCCAGCGACATTATTAAGAAGAAACTACTCGGGGAAAAGGATTTAAGCTATCAACGAGCAGTCGAGCTCGCATTGTCCTTGGAGTTGGCAGGGAAGAATGCGGCAGAGATGAAGTCACCGGGCAGCAGTGCCACAGTGAACTACGTAGCAAGCAAAGGCAGGACTTCATCGACGAATACGAAGAAAGAAGATTCTAACGTAAGGTACTGTTATTGTTGCGGTAGGACAAACCATATAACGGTAAACTGTAAATATAAACAGTACGGTCGTAACCTTTGCGGTAAAAAGGGCCATTTAAGGAATGTTTGTAAGAACAAAACTGATTCGGCAAAGGCAGTAAAATCTGGGAAAAAGGATAACGGTAAGAAAAGTAATAAGCACCGGGATAGTAAACGCGAACAACAAAATTTTGTGGCTGAAGTAGACAGAATCACCGAATGCTTAGACAACATGTTTCATTTAAGTAGGGAAGGGAGCAATACCTTCACAATTGCGGGAGATAAACCAATTGTCGTCGAGTTGTTGGTTGAGGGGTGTCCGGTAAAGTTCGAAGTAGACACGGGGTCGCCTATCTCCGCGATTTCAACAGTTTATAGGAATAGTTCGGAACTATTTTCAGCGTTGCCGTTGAGGAGAACGCACAGACGTTTCAAATCATATCAAGGGGACGTCATTGTACCAGAAGGTATATTAGGATTAACGGTTAGTCACAAAGGTAAAACGCGGTGGTTAGAGTTGTTCGTGATACCGGGGAGTAGCGCACCTATCATAGGGCGACGATGGTTGTCTGAGCTTGAAATATTGCAAGTCGGTAGCCTTAAATTGAACAATATACAGAAGCTGACGCAATCACCGACTGTAGAGGCCATTATTAAAGAATTTGGTGAAGTTTTCAGCGATAGGTTAGGGACGTATAATAAGGCTAAAATTACGTTACGGGCTAAACCCATTTTTCGTAAGCCAAGACCAGTGCCATACGCATTACGTACCAAAATTGAAAAAGAATTGAACAGACTCGTAGAAGCAAGAATACTAGAACAAGTGACTACGAGCGATTGGGCAACTCCCATCGTACCGGTACCCAAAGCTAACGGTGAGTTAAGAATATGCGGGGATTTTAAAGATACCATAAATAAAGACTTAGACTGTAACAGGCACCCGATTCCGCGCATTATTGATTTAGCGACTCAGATGTCGAGAGCAGCAAAATTCACGAAATTAGATCTTGCTAGCGCATATCAACAAGTCGAGTTAGATGAAGCATCTAAACAATTAGTTGTGCTCTCGATACCTAAGGGGTTGTATAAATGCAATCGTCTGATGTATGGGGTATCACCGGCTCCGGGCCTTTTCCAAGCAGAAATGGAGAAAATTTTATCCGGCATTAACACTTTCACAACTGCATGTTTGCGCAGTGAAACGTCGCCAGTGGCCGGCAATATTTTGGAAGAAAAAACTTTACGTAAATTCATGAAACAATTAACATTATTATTATAAATCAATAATCAACATTATTGTACAAATATAAAACAAAATTCATGACAACATAATGAAATTAACTGCTTTTTATAAAATAACTCCATTTAACTAAGTTCCGCATTTATTTAATATTTCTCTTTTTGATGAAAGGTAGCAAAACAGTTCCCAAAGTGTAATGCAACTTTGCAAGTTTTACACATGAATCTAGTGGTTTTTCTCTGACGATGTGAATAGCATACGTGACATCTTCTTCTTTTACGTTTGTTAGTTGGACTAATTGGAATCAATTGGTGGTGTTTTAAATTTCCAGAAAGTCTGTGAAGTGGATCCTGATGATGATGAGTCGATGTTGTAGGATTTGTAAAATTCCCTTCGATGTCTCTGTCTTGTATCCAATATCTTGCTACACGCAGCAGGAATTCACGAAATGCCAGAGTTTTACCACAACTTCCGTTCATATGTTTATATACTTTAAACGCATTGAACAAACCGCAGTTAAAAAGATACAATGAAACCTTTTTAGACCACTTTAGAGTCTTTCTGAATATAGGGTAATAACTTAAATATTGATCAGCTCGATCCACTCCTTTCATATGCTGATTATAATCAAAAATACATCTGGGTTTTTGAATCGCCCGGCCAGTTTTTCTGCAAATCTTTCCAGTGTCCACAAATTTGGCATTGTGAATTGTAGATATCATTCGGACAACTCTGTTTGTCGAGGTTTGCCACAACTGCAAAAGTATTTCTCCTTGTCGCTTAAACAAAGATTCCGATTTTTTCAATTTCGCATTTTTTAAAGAATCTGGTAGTCCTCGGTCACGCCTTATTGTTCCACACACTCGGATTTGTTTCAAAAGTAGTTCTTTTGCGAGGGCAACACTATTGTACAGATTGTCCATATAGAGATGGTGCCATTTTCCAAAGGAACGTCTCAATAATTCCATTATCGTGGTGTTTAAACTTTGCCCAACGCCACAATAAAGTTTAAAACTCGAAATATATCCAGTAGCAGAATCACATAGCATTCGAATAAGGATACCATATTTTGTAATTTTGGATGGATTATAAGTTTTAAAGTTAAGTCTTCCGCGCCACGATATCATACCTTCGTCAATACAAATGTTTTGCGAAAGATTGAAATTTTCTTCAAATTTTTTGGAGAAATATTCGATTAAGTATTGTATTTTGAAGAGTCGGTTACCATTGGTAGGCGTGTTAGCATTGTTTGCAAAATGAATATATGTCAATATCTGCCTGAATCTATTGCGGCTCATTGTCTTGGAAAATATTGGAGTCTCTATCAGTGGATTTGTGGACCAGTAATCCTCCATTCTTGGTTTTTTTACAAGTCCCATTATAATTATTAGACCAATCCACTTTTTCAGCTCTGCCACCGTTACATCGAACCATTTGGCACTTTTTTTTTGCTTTTTATACTTTCCACAATTCTGTGCGTGGTATCTGTTTGTTTCCGTGGCAATAAATTCAAATAAATCGTTTCCAATAAACATATCTACGAATTCATCAACCATACTTGTATTTGTTGGAAACACAGTAGGACCCGGAGTGCCCCTAAAAGCTTCATTATTATTCGTAGTTTTATCCAATTCTCTGTCCATTCTAAATGCATTTCTTCGTCGCTTTCGTCAGAAGAACTCGGTAACGGCAGGACCCGTCGTTTTCTTCGCACTCCAGTAATAATGTCTGAATCGACAGATTCTGCATCACTTCCTTCTTCACTTGTTTCTTCTAAATCACAATCGGCAGGAACATGAGAAAGCACATCAGCATAATAATCTTCGGAACTATTATCTTCGTCGTAATCCATTATTATTAGGGAATATTTTCACAATGTTACTGAAATTATATACCGAATTACAATGTGACGTTCTGAAAACAAGCCTTCGTCCAGAATCGTCCATTATTTTATCGTATTCGTGCCAAATTCTCAGAAACAACATACCTTGTTGCTTATCAATAAGCAAAATTGAAATTTATTTCGTAAAAAAGTATTCAGTCCTTAGCGATAATATTCAGTCTCTCCTAAGCGCTTCGTGATAGATTCTTTAGTAGTCAAAAGGTTTTGAGTAATAAAATTTTGCATCATTTAAGTATCTGACGTGCTAAGAAAAGTTGCAAGTGGCTTGCCACTGCTACCACGTGGGAGTCACCGGCAAATAACAACTGGCCTACCAATGACACCACATGAGTGTCACCGGCATACAACGACTGGCCTGCCCATGACACCACATTGGTGTCAGCGGTTGTGAAAGTGTTACACTGTCATGTATTTTGATGATGTATTCATTTTTGGAGACGATCAAGCTGAACATGATCGTAATTTGCGTATGGTGCTGAGTCGATTTAAAGAATGTGGCTTGACAGTCAAATTGGAAAAATGCCAAGCTGATCAAAAACGAGTGCAATTTTTAGGATACGAAATTGATGGCGAAGGTTTACACGTATCTAAAGATAAGGTCGATGCGGTTGTGAAGATGCAACGACCCGAGAACGAGGCAGATCTAAAGTCGTTCTTAGGCCTTTCAAATTATTACTCGAGGTTCATAAGGAACTATGCGAAAATAGTGAGCCCGTTATATGACTTACTTAAATGGAATGTGCGTTGGCAGTGGACAGCGGCTCAGGAAGATGCTTTCCAACGTGCTAAGGAGAAATTAATGTCGCATGAAGTCCTAGTACATTATCAAGCGGATGTACCTATCAAAGATACTTGCGATGCATCGCCAAAAGAATTAGGCTCAGTATTGTCGTATGTGTAATGGCGAGGAACGGCCAATTGTGTTTGCGTCTCGAGTGCTCAGTAAGGCTGAGCGTAATTACTCACAGTTAAATAGGGAAGCATTAGGATTAGTTTTTGGGGTGAAGACATTCCATCAGTTTGTATATGGCCGAGAATTTGTCCTGGAAACGGATCACAAGTCATTAACTTTCATTTTTGGACCCAAGAAAGGGCTGCCACAGATGGCCGCTAGCCATGTACAGTTTTAGGCAGTTTTTCTGTCTGCATATGATTTTAAAATTAAATACATAAGGGATGAAGATAATAGTCCAGTTGATAGCTTGTCGCGCAACCTAATAACTGATTTCAAAGAGGCTGTGAAGAAGAACGAGCTAGAGGAATTTTCGTACTTAAATTTTATAAGTGAAGATGTTAAAAGCATTGATTGTTCGGTTCTAAAAGACGAAACATTGACAGATCAAATATTATGTCGAGTCTACGAGTACACTTATAATGGCTGGCCTGTGAAGGTACATGATTCTTTAAAAGCATTTGATGTACGGAAAAACGAATTGACAATTGAACAGGGGTGTCTCATGTGGGGTCACCGAGTCATTATTCCGGTTGTACTTAAAGCGTTTGTAAAATGTCGATTTTTTTAACAGTGTAATCGTCACGGGCAGTGCTGTTAACGTCTGAACTGAACTCAGTCGAACGTTGGAGTTCGAATAAGTGCAAGTGGCGAGCGTACTCGTGCCGTTTTCTCGTGCGTGTTGTAAGACAGTGCAGTGCGCACATATCGTTATTGAGATATTGTGATGCCAGTAACGCGTAACCAGTCACGACTCGGAGACAGTAAATCTCAATCGCATGACTGTCCTGGTTCCGTTAATACCCACGCGCCCGCGCAGCGTTCGGACAAGTGTACGTTTCCTACGTTCATCAAGGACGATCCAGAGTTATGGCTCCGGCAAGTGGAGATGTTCTTTACGCAAAACCGTAAAACGGAGGATGAGGACAAATTCAGTCCGGTATGCGTGAACATAACCGGTGACGCGCTTGTGGCTGTACGTCACATTGTAATTGCTCCGCCGGAGCACGGTAAATACGAGGCTTTCAAGCGACGTATCCTCGATACGTTCGGGGAGTCGCAAGAAGCCAAATTGCGTCGGTTGTTGCGAAGACACGAGATTGGTATAAGCCCTCCAGTTCCAGAAAGTCATGAAATATATATATAAGTCATATATATATATATATGTTGATAATAATAATACTAATAGATTCGACACACTAGCGGGAGGCTGATATCTAATTACGTTAACGCATGTTCACGGCACGAACGCAGAATGTAGAGAGAGCAATTATCGCTCGACACGCACGTACGTTTCGCTCCTATTCCCCCACTTTTCTAGAATCGCCCGTCCTTGTCGATCTTTTACATTTTGGCAATATCACACTCCCCCTCGTAAAGAAAAGAAACGTATGAGAAACTAAAATTTATCGTATTATAAACGGGTCGAGGGTTTACGATTTCGTAACGGTCGAATACGCGAATTCGAAGGCGTCTCTGACTCTGGCCTACTTTGCTCCTCTTGTTCGTTTGTATTTGTATTCGTTACCCCTGTATTTGAACTGTTATTATTGTTATCATTTACTGGTGGAGGAGGGTAATATTGCACCTCCGCAGTATCTTTCGCAACCGTATTCTTTCCGATTTTTAACATTTGATCTACGTGTCTCCGTACAATGTTACCTTTATCTAATCGTACTTCATAATGTAAAATACCTATTTTTGATTTTACTCTTCCCAAGAGCCATGTCTCCTTACCCACGTAGTTTCGCACACTCACTCTCTCTCCGCAGGAAAATAATTTCACTCTTCCGTTATGTTTAACATACGTCGAAATTTGTTTGTACCTAGGATGTATAAAGTCTAGGTGTGAATTCATTTTTCTGCCGAAAAATAGTTCCGCTGGGGCTTTCCCCGTTTGTACGTGTATGCTTATTCTATATTGTAAAAGTAGTTTACATAAATTGTCATGTACCGACTTATTTTCTTCGCACAATTTTTTTAGCCCATTCTTGACCGTTTTTACCATATTTTCCGCTTGTCCGTTTGTAGCCGGATGGTATGGTGCGGTGTATTTGATTGTACAGTTTATTTCACGCATGAAATTCTTGAATTCTCTCGATGTAAACGTTCTTCCGTTATCTGTAACAATGACTTTCGGCATTCCGTATTCACTAAATATTTCTTTACAAATTGAAATTGTATTTTCTGAAGACATTGTATTAACTATTTTGACAATAGGAAATTTCGAGTATGCATCGATTAGAATCAAAAAGGTTTTACCTAGGAACGGCCCTGCAAAATCTATATGTACTCTGTCAAAAACGTTTTTGGCTTCTTCCCACGGATGGGTACTCACTTTTGCTGGGTTGTTCCTATGTAAATTACAAATTGTACAATTTTTTACCAGATTCTCAATGTCCTTATTCATCGAAGGCCACCATACTATAGTACGAGCTAAATTCTTCATTTTAACGATGCCAAAATGTCCCCAATGTAACTCGGTCAACATTCTTTTCCTGAGTTTCACGGGTACGATTACTCTATCGTTGCGTAAAATTACATCGTTGCAAATAGAGAATTCCTCTAGATTGAATTTTTGTTCTTTTGATCGAGTTCTTTTATTTGTAATTGCCTCGTAAATTTGTTGCAATTCTGCATCCGTTCTTGTAAGTTCTGCAATTTCGTTCGCTGTAATAGGTAGGGATTCGATCGTTTCAACGTGAAAAATGTGAGCTACATCGTAATTATTATTTTCATTATCTAACGGTAACCTAGATAAGCCGTCCGCGTTGGCGTTCTTTTCTGAATTTTTATAGCGTATTTCGTAGTTGTACGCGCGTAAAAATAATGCATAATGTTGCATACGTAACGCTGCAAATGTAGGTAAATTCTTATCCGGCGAGAAAATGCGTGTCAACGCTTGATTGTCCGTAATCAGTGTAAATTTCGTACCGAATAAGTACTGGTGAAATTTCTTTATTCCGAATATGATCGCGTATGCTTCTTTATCAATATTTGCATATTTCTGTTGTACATTGTTTAGCTTTTGGGATGCGCATTGAATGATTCGTTCTGATCCGTTGGGATAAATATGAGAAAGTACCGCGCCGACCCCGTAACTACTTGCATCAACGGCTAGAATTAACGGTAATTTCGGGTCATAATGCGCGAGAATTTTATTTTCACAGAAAGCTTGTTTAGCCTGAATGAATGCGTTTTCACATTGTTTATTCCAATTGAAAGGAACTTTATCTTTTAGCAAATTGTATATAGGGTGTAAAATTGTTGACAAGTTTCTAATAAATCGTGCGTAATAGTTGACAAAACCAAGAAACGCCCGTACTTCCGATTTATTTTTCGGGTGAGGCATATCTTTAATTGCCGCGTATTTTGATGGATCTTTGTTGATTCCATTTTTATCGATTATGTACCCGCAAAAATGAATACTACTTCTGAAAAATTCACATTTTTCTAAGTTAATCTGAATATTATGATCATGCAATCGTTTAAAAACTAAATTTAGTTTTTCAATGTGTTCCTTCTTTGTAGGACTTGCAATACGTATATCGTCTAGGAAAGCTTTTATCCCGTCGATATCGTGAAGAATTCCTTCTATCGTACGTTGCCATATGGCAGGAGCGGACGCTGTTCCGAACATTAGCCTCGTAGGTTTGTAAAGTCCGCAATGAGTTGAAAGCGTCAACAAATTCTGTTGTTCTTCGCTTACTTGTAATTGCAAATACGCATGTTTCAAATCTATTTTAGAGAACACTGTCATACCCGCCATACAAGAAAATAATTCTTCGAGTCTGGGAAGAGGGTATTCATCGATTACTAATTTCTTATTTAATGTTACGCTGTAATCCCCACAAATACGGACCGTTCCATCTTTTTTTAAAACAGGCACTATGGGTGTAGCCCATTCTGATGATTTGACTGGAATAAAGATTTGTTTAGCAACCAAACTATCGAGTTCTCTCTTAATTTTATCTTGCAATTTGAAAGGAACGCTTCTATGTTTAATAAAAATTGGTTTCGCGTTGTCTTTAAGTGTAAATTTTGCCGTGTAAAATTTTATTGGTTCTACTCGTTCGTTACAAATGTCGTAATTACGTAATAAATTCTGTATGATTTGCTCATCGTTTACTGTATGTACAGAGTTTATCCTGACCTCTTTTGTTTTGAACAGATTGTCTGTATGTATTAGTTCTCGGAACCACTCTCTTCCCAGCAAGGGCTTACATTGTATTCGAACAATATATAAATTCAAAGAGATTTTACGCGTCTTAAATTCTACTTGTACTTTAATATAACCGACCGTATCGATTGGATCTTTATTAAACGATTGTAGCTTAATATTTGAATTGTATACCTTATGTTTAGGGAAGAGACTTTTCGCTTGTTCTGCGCTCATTAAACTTACGGCAGCACCCGTGTCCACTTCGAAATCCACTGGATAGCGCTCCACTAGGACCTGCAGGACGAATTTCTCCCTTGCTGCTGCGCTGTCGATTGTGCATATCTCTTCCACCGTGTTCGCAGATTCCTTCTTCTTCGCGAAGCAAACCCGTGATAGATGCCCTTTCTTCTTGCAAAAATTGCATTCAACATTCTTGTTTATTGTACATTCGCTGGCGTAATGTTCTTTTCCGCAACGATAACAATTAATGTTCCTGGATTTTGCAATTTTCCTTGAATTTTGTCCGTGTACGTAAGAATTTGAACTCTTGGCGTTCGTTTTTGAATTTTTCGGCAAAAGCTTTGCGGAATCTGGATTTCTCTTCTGATAATTTTTTCTGTGCGTACCGATCTTGTGCCGATTTTCGTCGGAATTTATGTATTGTATGCTCTCTGCGTTCGTGTTTGTATTACGTAATTGCCGCGTACTGCTTTCGGCTATTTCCATTGTAATAGCTGTGGTAACCGCCGTATCGAAGGTCAAGTTTTGTGTTTCTAACAGTCTCGCTTGAATATTTGGGTTACGTAACCCTGCTATAAGTTGCGTACGTAAAGCCGTTTTCAAATATGTTCCAAAATTACATTTGGCGCTTAATTTATGTAAATCATTGACAAAATCACGTATTGATTCGTCTTCTAGCTGTTTCCGCTGATGGAAAACGAAGATCTCTGCCGCTTCCAGAGGTTCCGGTTCTAGAATTGATTTCAACTTTTCCTTTATTGTATCTAATGCTGTAAGGTACGGATTTATGCCATCCATAGCGTTATCTAGTTTCATGTATGTATCAATACCTATGTATTGAAGTAAATAGGTTCTTTTTTTTGTTTCAGTTGTAATTTCGAAAGCTGCGAATGCTCCTTCGAGTCTCTGTAACCATGTACTCCATTTATGTTTCGTTGAATCGTATGTTTCAATTCTAAAAGAACCTGGAATCTCCGTCATTTTCAGAATCGGCGGTGTCGGTGTATCGTGTATGCTTGTACTAGCTGCTGTGCTTACCGTTGCCTTCGATTTTGAATCTTCTCCGGTTTTGATTTTTCCTTTACCCTTCGGCTCACTATTCATTCGCACTTAAGGTCCTCGTCGCCACTTGCTATGTATTTTTATAATATATATATAATGATAATGAGAAATTAACAATAGTTAGAAAACGGACAGTTAGATACACTAATGCGTGTTCGCGGCACGACCGCAGGACGTAGAGAGAGCGAGCGATTCTCGCCTGCCTCGCACGTATGATTCCTATTCCCCCCACTTGCCTAGGATCGCCCGTCCTAGTCGCTCTCGTATATTTTGGCAATATCACACTCTCCCTTGTAAAGAAAAGAAAAGTATGAGAAATTAAAATTTATCGTATTGTAAACGGATCGGGGGTTTACGATTTCGCAACGGTCGAATACGCGAATTCGAAGGCGTCTCTAACTCTGGCCTATTTGGGTTCTCTTGTTCGTTTGTATTTGTATTCGATACCCCTGTATTTGAATCGTTATTATTGTTATCATTTACTGGTGGAGGAGGGTAATATTGCACCTCCGCAGTATCTTTCGCAAACGTATTCTCTCCGATTTTTAACATTTGATCTACATGTCTTCGTACAATGTTACCTTTATCTAATCGTACTTCATAATGTAAAATACCTATTTTTGATTTTACTCTTCCCAAGAGCCATGTCTCCTTACCCACGTAGTTTCGCACACTCACTCTCTCTCCGCAGGAAAATAATTTCACTCTTCCGTTATGTTTAACATACGTCGAAATTTGTTTGTACCTAGGATGTATAAAGTCTAGGTGTGAATTCATTTTTCTGCCGAAAAATAGTTCCGCTGGGGCTTTCCCCGTTTGTACGTGTATGCTTATTCTATATTGTAAAAGTAGTTTACATAAATTGTCATGTACCGACTTATTTCCTTCGCACAATTTTTTTAGTACATTCTTGACCGTTTTTACCACATTTTCCGCTTGTCCGTTTGTAGCCGAATGGTATGGTGCAGTGTATTTAATTGCACAGTTTATTTCACGCATGAATTTCTTGAATTCTCTCGATGTAAACGTTCTTCCTGTTGTGTATCTTGGGGTGTAGTAGGTTCGTAAGGTTGAAAATACATTAAACTGCACGCTTTATACTCGGATGCTTAATATTTAATCAGATATAAAACTGCTTTGTACATGGCACGTGTAAGCCACTTTAGAACGCTGTACAACGAGTGTCTGTCGCGCGACTTGCGCTCTACCTCACCGAACACACACATATATAATGTACGCGCAATATACATGTATATATATAACACTCTCCTCTCTAAAGTAAAAAAATAATACATCATGACTGATTCATAACAAAATCTCTGAAAGGTATCGGCAACGAAGTTTGTCTTCTGGGCCTAGCGCTTCCACTTCCTCTATCGGCTGGTACAGGGTCTGTTGGCGTGTTCACTGTTCTATGGTTCGAACTTGCGTTTGAACTGAGTGAAGTGCTTCTACTCTCAGCTTCATGTTCTATCGCTGGCCGATAAACATTGATTTGTTCCCTGAGGGGTACATTATAATCGTCATCGTTGTTAGATGTAGACGTAGGAACATCATCGCCTATGCTGCGTATTTGATTTGCATGGCGCAACCATACTCTACCGTCGTCTAGAGTAATTTTATAATGTAGTCTACCTGTGCGCTCAGTAACTCTCCCGACAAGCCATAATTCGCTGGCACCGTAGTTTCTCGCTTCGACTCTTTGGTTTAACTTAAATTCACGTATTTTCTTATTTTCGTTAAAAGTAAATTCCTTAACTTTACGTAAACATGGTTTCATTAAATCTAACTTAGATCGTATATCTCGCTTAAACATTAATTGCGCAGGCGATACACCTGTAACAGTATGCGGCGTAATTCTATATTGCAAAAGTATATCCTGGAGGTCATTCTCGAAGTCTCCATGGTTATTCATTTTCTTTAACGATTCTTTGATCGTTTGTACGTAGCGTTCCGCCTGTCCGTTTGTTGAAGGAAAATACGGAGCTGTAAATTTATGTATAATTCCTAGCTTCTTTGTAAAATCTGAGAAATCGTCCGATTTAAAAGTAGAATAATTATCAGATACTAGAATATTTGGAATGCCAAATGTTGAAAATATTCTTTTGCAAACAGTAATCGTTTCTTTACATGTCATTCCTCGTGTAATATGAACCTCAGGCCACTTGGTATATGCATCCACCAGAATCAGAAAGTATCTGTCTCGGAATGGTCCCGCGTAATCTATATGGACGCGCTCGAAAGGTCCTGCTGGCGGTTCCCAAATATGTTTTTCAACACCCGGAGGGCGATGTTGATTCACCAAGCAATTGGTACAATTTCGAACTAAGTGTTCGATTTCAGAATTGATGTTAGGCCACCAACAATGTCCTCTTGCAAGCGCCTTCATACGTACAATACCAAAGTGTCCTACATGTAATTCTTGCAAAACTTTGTTTCTTAACGTTTTCGGAATAACGATTCTTTGGTTTCTGACAAGTACATCTTGTTCTAGACTAAATTCTCTCGGATCGATATTCCAGGTATCTTTCGCACGTAGTTGTTTACCTGCATGTAAGGCTTCAACTACTTTGTATATTTCCTGATCTTTTCTAATTTCAGAACGTAATAAATCCGCTGATATTGGTAAAGTCTGTAACGTATCAGCGTAAAATATGTCTATCACATCTACATTTCCCTTTTCGATTGGAATTGGCAATCTTGACAATCCGTCAGCATTGCTGTTGTTTTCTGAACGTTTGTAAACGATATCGTAATTGTATGCTCGTAAAAAAATTGCGTAGTGTTGCATACGTAATGCACTATAAGTCGGTAGACTATTCTTTAAAGAAAATATTTGCGTTAATGGGCGATGATCCGTAATGAGCGTAAATTTATTCCCATACAAATATTTATGTAATTTCTTTACCACGAAAACAATAGCATATGCTTCCTTGTCGATTTGAGCACATTTTCTTTGTGTACTGTTTAAACATTGTGAAATCCACATAATTGGTCTCTCAGTTCCGTCGGGGAATTTATGAGATAATACCGCACCGACTTCTGTAGGACTAGCGTCGGTTGCTAGAATTAATGGTAAGTTTGGGTTGTAAAAGGTAAGGCATTTGTCGCTCATGAACTCATTTTTGACTCGTAAAAATGCCTTATCGCATTCCTTTGACCACTTGAATTTAATCCCCTTTTGTAATAATCTATGTAACGGTTGTAATAGATTACTTGCATTTGGAATAAAATGGCTATAATACCTTACAAAACCAATGAAAGATTGGACTTCATTTACATTTTGAGGTCGAGGCATGTTTTTAATCGCCTCCATTTTTTTCTTACTCTTATGCAACCCATACTTGTTTATCACGTATCCGCAAAATTCGATCTCGTCTTGAAAGAATTCGCATTTTTCTTTATTCATTTTAATGTTATGCTCATGTAATTTCTTAAGGACAGATTCTAATCTGTCTAGTAATTCATTTGTAGTTCTACCCGCGATGCGTATATCATCAAGTAGTACGAAAACCCCTTCGATTCCTT